TTCAATGTTTAAGAACAATGTATGTTTAACTTACGATTTTTCCTTGCTAACAAATATAAAAAATAAAAAAAAAATGTTCACATGTTTTCTTTAAATTAAAAGTCAGTCAAAATAAAAGTGATTGAAGAAAATACCTAAGTCATGTGACTGACAACTACTACATTGCTTTTGTAATACTATTTTTACTTGTTTATTAGCCCTTTCTTACAACTGTGGCTAAAACTAGAACTAAGTTATACTGATCATGCAAAGTTAACTTTTCACTATACAATAGAATAAAACAAAATTAAATCAATTTGCTATATAGGTGCTAAATATATATCATTTAAGAATTATTTCAGTATAAACATGTGTAAATCGGAAATCTGTCTCGTAAGTATCATGTTAATATCTGTATTTTATTTAGTAACTGTATTTTACATTTTAGACTCCACTGAACACAAGTTTGAATAAAACTTTAAGTTCCTGGTCAGTTGCTTATTATTTGCCTGCCCGTGCTCTGCCTTGTGCCCTGTCCTGTTTTTCTTTGGGGTCCTCCTGGGCTCCTTACCGATGGCGCTTGTTGCTGGGTCGGGTGGGGGGCTGCGTTCATTGAGCGCCGCCTTTCCTTGTCGATCTTGTTCATCATATTTTAAAAGACTAAAGTTGACTTTTTCATGTTAAATAGAGTTAAACAGCATTTTGTAATTTGTAAATAATATAGCTACCGGTTTCTTTTTGCCGCTCCAGATTTTGGCAAATTCAACCCCTATTTTTACGTGCTTTATAAAATGAAAACTATCTTAAATTGTCATATTTACCAAAAGGTTTGAAAGTGTATATGTTTTGTTTTCTATCTTTAATATTTTTTTTGTAAAAATGCATTTAAAGTTTGCATTTGCCATGGTAGAGTGTCTTTTGCCATGGCATTTCGGAATTTTTCCATGGCAAATACTGAGTTATAAAATGGTGAACATTTAAAAATGGTGAACAACCCAAACCTCTATATGAGTTGGGTGAAAGTCGGGGGTCTGAAGCCTATTTTAAAATCCAAATAGAACAATCGATGTTGTAATCAATATTTCTTTTTACATTTCATTTGACTCTCAATGTAAGTTGTTTATTTTTATATGCTAAATGTCATTTTAGATGTAAAAAGTATTTCATTCACAATTAATCAAAACGAAATGAGAAAAAGAAAAACGTAACAAAAACACGTGAGTAACCTATTTAATGTAAAAAGAAAATTGGCTGTACAATCCACATAATAATCAAGGAGGTAATCAATCTCGAGAACGAAAATGAAAAGAAATAAAAAAAAGAAACACAATTTCGATGTATATAATTATAAATGGACATGTCGGGTTTCGGTCAATGAATTTCTAACACAAACATCTACGCAGTCGGTAGGCGATCAATAAATAATATGCAAGCAGTATATCAACTGAAGGTTTCAATGGCCATATAATGTATTTGACAAGTATTGAACATCAAAAACTGAGGGTATCTGATAAATTCGTTTCTTTTATGGGTTTTTTTATGTAAACATAATGATCTTACATGATCGTGAACGTTTTTGGTGGTCTCATTATTTTGGACAATATTCATAACTCATTAAGTTATTTTGCAAAAAAACTTAATAGTTCATAATATAAAAAAAATATTGTTCACTAGAAAAATGTAATGCGATCTAAACACAGTGTCAACTGTTTTGTGGGCGGAAGTATGATAAAACATAATTACAATATCTAAGCAATTAAAATAGAATGTTCTACGAACTAACTATCTTGTATATTTTATTATAGAACATGTAGAAGTATCCAGTGAATTTTATTTTAGAGCTCTCATTGAAACTTAATTTTAAAATGGCAAGACCTATCCTTGACAATTGTTCTTAACTGTCCGATAAAATTTCCATATTTTGTTTTGTAATTTAAAATAAGCGATGTAAATTCTTCTTATGTTCAGTTATTTCCTGTAATTTTAAAGAAAAGCAAACTAATTTTACATTGTCTTCGGCCAATAAGGCTTATCTTTAAGTAGCCCACCATTAATTGACGTAATTTTAATCGACTTTAATACAATTGTGTTACAATGTTAAAACTTGATGTTTTATTTAGCGTGTTTGTGATAAAATTATGCAACGGTTAATCAGTATGTTTACTGGACTGATACTAGCAAAAAGACATTATCTCTATTATTTAAATCCCTCCAGTGTCTGTTAACGTCACTCTTAATCATGTGTAACGTATCGCTTGGGACATTAATTGTTGAAATGTTTTATTCATTTGTTTTCTCTCTAACAAAACTATCTATTTTTTACTGCTGGTTCAATTTATTAGTTCAATACCTAGTTTAAACTAAGAGAATAAACGAAATGATGTCCTCAAACCTAAAGCAATTAGCGGTAGTGTAATGTGCCTAATGTGGCCTTCATGAACTGTTCTCATCTAGCAATAGGGAGACACTCGAGAGCATTGAAAAAAGAGCGAAAAAAATCAGACTCGGTTCGTCAGTACTTTTGAAAGCTTCAACATCTCTTACGTCACGTAGCACTGGCATTTGCAGATTTCAAGTTTCTACAATAAACGTTTTTTAATGTAATAATCCCGTAGGACAACAATAATTAGGCTTTAACTCAGTACAATGTTGGAGGTATAGCTCTAGACGTTTGCATAAATCATATTAACAAAATTGACAAATATCGTTTTGAGTTTGTTTTCTTTCGTCGATTCTATTATATTTCAGTTCTCATCGTATGTCAATTGTTCAATCGGCAAGAATCGACGAATAAGACGTTTTAAAGTTATTTCCCATCGGCGAAAATGCACAATGTTAGCATTTATTACTCAAGCGCCTTCTCCGATATATACCGGGATACGTATTTCTCCAGGAACACATCTTTACTTCACCATTTACAAAGGATCGGATACTAAACTGTTATCAAAATATCAAAAGGGAACGCTCGGTAACCAACATTTTTTTATCAATATTTCGCATTTAAGAAGCACAATCATTTGCAATATTTCTGAAATTTCCATTTTCGAACAGAATGAAGAAATGAAAAAAGATGTATTGACGGGTACAAAAGCAGAGTATATATAATCACAAAATTGCCAGGTACTTACATTGAGAGGTTTTAACACAGAAAATAAATAATTTGACACATCTGAACGAATATGTTGGCGTGATAAACTACCAACAATTTGATATATAAAGGATATTCAAGTTTTTTCTGTAAATACATGATTTATTTTCACCGAGTGGTATGAAAATAAAAAACTCAATAGTTCTTAATAATTATATAAAATTAGCTGTTCTTTAGAATATGTATTGAGATGTAAATTTATTTTGTGTTCAACAGAATTATAATATTTCAGCAATTTATCTAGAGACTTAGACAGTTGACGAACTGTCCTGTATATTTTGCTTCAGAGATATCCTATACGTTTTATTGTGAAACCATCAATTAAACATAATTTTAGAATGCCAAGAACTATCCTTTACAATAATTATTGTTGTAGACTGGCCGATAAAATTTCCATATACCAATTTGTAATTTAAAATGATCGATGATTTTTTTTTGTCTTATATTCATTTCCCTCCCGTAAATTTGAAAGAAAATCAAATTGGTTTTAGACGGTCTTTGACCAATAAAGCTTATCTTCGCTTGACGCACCATTGATTGATGTAATTTGAATTGACTTTGGTACAATCGTTTTACAATGTTAAAACTTCATATTCTATTTTTCTGTAAATTGCGTGTGTGTGATTAAAATATGCAAAGGTTAATCAGGTTATCTACTGGACCGATACTAGCAAAGAGACAACATCTCTATTATTTAAATCCCTGTAGCGTCTGGTACATCACTCTAAATCATGTGTAACATGTCGTTTGGGACATGACTTGCTTAAAATGTATTATTCATTTGTTTTCAATCTAACTAAACAATTCATTTTGTTATGCTCAATAAAATGTTTTAGTCCAATATCTGGTTATATTATTCTGTTAACCGGGTTTACAAACAGACTTGCTGAACATATCATTGATTTATTTATGAACGTATATTTCATGTCAATTTAATTTATGCAATTTGTGACTATTCACTGAATCGTTAGATGTTGTTTGATACCATAATACATGCATAAACTTTGCAAAATAAATACCTAAAACTATATAGGCAGGTTTTTTTTGGGATATTTTTGACAAAGTGATAGAGGCAATAAATTTGACGTTCGGTTTTTATTGTGAAACATAGTAACAATGCAATAGCAAGTCATGACATACCATGTATTTATTATCACATACTAGTAGTTACATTAATATTGAAAGTCGGTGGCAAATACCCGGTTACAACTGACAACCAGAAGTAAATTCAGTAAATACAAGGTTATGGCAACATTTAAATCTCATGTCCGACTAGAACATTGTTTAACAATGAAACTTACCTTTGTGACATTCACGATACTAAGCACAGCACTAGGGTATCACCTTTAATTGTTTTCTTTATTTCTTAAGCAGTTTTATTCAATATACGTTAAAACACCCTGATTATATGAAATTGATTTTCATTTGCACATAGGGTACTGTCAATAAACTAGTCCCTTGCTCTTATGCTTCAACGAATATGTCAAACTGTTTTCCAGCCATCAAAGTATGTTGAGGAAGAAAATCTTAGATAATAAAGCACACTTCTGTAACTATAACTGTTAAAATTAATTTAAGGTAGTCTTTTTTAATGCTTTCTCGCCAAAAATTCTTACATCGGCAAAAAATTGGTTTGTCTAAGACGTACAATACATAAGAACTTTGTTAGTGGCAAAGGTTTTATTATGTGTCATACTTGCATCGTTCCTTATTTTTCTATTTTGTAAGTTATACTGTATATTCGGAAAAGATAAAAAAGAAAACTCAAAACAAAAATTTTATTACACAAATGAAAAGAAATGAACAAACGAAAGCTACATTTACAAAACAATATAGGTATATCAAAAAAAAAAATAATAATTCATTGGTTGTTTTTACATTTAACTACATGTAATATGGCATGACATGGCTCGTTCGTATTGATTGTTTACCGACTTCAGTCCTACTCCTTATTTTACATTTTGAGAATGACTCCTGTGACATGGTAGCAGGAGCCTACGCCAGGACACAAGATGTTGAGTTCTGCTCAACAGGGCAAAATTGCTTCACAACAATTTTTTCTTCTTATGACACCAATGCTGGTTGGAACCGGAAATTTTATTTGCCTTTTTGAAATTTCTTTATCATATACTATCATCAATTTAAATTATTTCCAATTTCATGGAGTTTTACAATTTTTATCTTACTATCTCAATATATTTATTCTTCTTTCATGTGAATAAAATTTCAATAAAACCTCCTACAGGGAAGACTAATGAACCGCTTCCCTCCTGCAAACTGTGTTAAAAGCGTGGAGGAAAGTTCAAGTATTTCTATCAGAGTTTGGCGGTCGCACCAGCATTTATAATTTCAGACTCGATAAATTAAATCTGGTTGTTAGTAATTATGACAATTGAACTTCTCTCTGCACCACCTTGCACCGGATTATGCAGATTTCACTCTTCTTCAGTGAACGTATCGGATTAAATGATCCCGAAGGGTCACACTAGACAAGAATTTAAACTGCTAGCAGATATCTTTATCACAAAATAGACAAAAATCATTTGCTGTTGTTTTCTGGGTTTTTTTGTTTGTTTCTTTTGCCGATTCAAACATTTTTCATTAATTATCGAATATAAACGAATATAAATCGGGGTGAATAGATTAATATTAATAAGACGTTTTAAAGTTCATTCTCATTAGTGAAAAAGCGAAATCCTAGCTTTTAATAATTCAACAATTAAATAAAAAATGTAGGACAGGTACATTCTGCTTTATTTAGACTCTCCTTACAGTAAATGTTATTTTACACACGTCCATAGAAATGCGAAAGTTTTCATGACTCAGGAATTGGGAGATGAAATTTAAATAGAACACATTAAGGACTGTCTGTTAACAAATTTAAAGCTGTCTCGTATACAAATATGGACCTAATCATGAATGTTTCAAAATAATCTTTGGGCGCATTTGAATTATGTAAAGCAAAATTTAAATACTCCTTTGCATGTATTTCTATGATCAATAAGCAACTTTTTACACAGACTGCCGTTGAACGACTTCAGAAGAAGCCATGAATGAAGTCAGAGTTTAGAACAAAGTTAGAGCTATCCTTGGACAAATGAAGGACTATCTAATTCAACAGTGTGTCGACGATAACGATAGTTTCTAAATACATTTGATAGAAACTGTGCACTTTAATATCAAAATTCTCTTCAGTCATTCGCAGACTATGTTAGCATTTAATTCACAATTACGCATTTTTTCGTCGGCAAACTGCCTTCTAAAAAACGCGCAGCTTGTTCCGGTCCTGTCACGTAGCCAAATGAAAGCATCTGTATCCATCTCAGCTAGACCTGGTAAAATAATGGAAACCATTTATTACATACTTATAAATGAAATATGGAGAAATATTGATGAAATAAAATGCGTATTTCCATTTTCCGTATTTTCATTGTAAAAATTTATTTTTCATTGCAGTAAAACAATTTTTCCGTATTTTCACTGGTATCTTGCCGGACTACTTTCTTTTAAAATCTGCCAGTGCACAAAATATAAGAGAATTTTTTTCAAATTGTTTTGTCAAAAAAGAGAAAAATGTATAGAATAAACAGAAATTCAAGTTTTTTTCTATAAAAACATGATTTATTTTCATCTTGTGGCATGAAAATAACCACATTTCACTCGTGGCTACCGCCATTCATGAACTATTAATTTTCATACCACTCGATGAAAATAAATCATGTATTTATAAAAAAAATTCATTCCTATATTTATTATCTTTATTTTACATGATATCAAAGATATTCAAATCTAAAGTCTTAAGGCTAAATACCACAAAAATATAAAATTATCTTTATTTATAAGAATTCTTAAAATTAATAAAAATATATATTTGTTTGTTCTTTTTTTTTTGGATTTGTATAAAATGTTGAAATATGTACAATGAATATCTTTTTTTCTTGAGATTCGTTTAAAATGATAGCTATGGGCAATCTTAATGAAACGGGCTTATAGAAAGTTTAGTGTATTATGCTTGAATGATGAACATTTAATGTCATTGGTTTCTGTGATTAATTTTGTGAAAAATATAATCAATAATAAAGTACAAAATGATACACATAAAATATCACTTAACTCTAACATAATTTCGTTGTTTATCAAAATGTATGAAAGCATTGGTGCTAACAAAAAACAAATGCTATGCGAAAGAGCCCCAAAAAACATTCAATAATAAAACTTTGCTAATATGTAAAATCCTTTACCTGCGTCGGATTGAAGATCTAGTTTGTCTTGTTCATTTTCAAGAGTCAGAATATTTTCACCCAGTAAATTGCAGAAGTCGGACGCATTTTGGTGGGTAAGCGGTACATAATATTGAAACTGGTTTTGTATGTGGCGACATCGTTCGCCGGTCATGTAACCAAGGCCACATGGTAGCTAAAAATAGAATAACGCATGTAAGTCAAATGCAAAAATAAATTTACTGTTAAAAATATGAGTCAGAAAAAGAACAACATTTTTCAGATGCATTTTTGTCCACTGAGTTCGAGTCAATAATGTTCACCAATCAATAAATGATAATTTATATCCAAACTTGTCCTTTTCATTTTATTTTTCATTTGTGCAAATCTTAATGTTATCCCAAGTATGAATCCTCTGTCTGTTTATGTTTATTATAAACATTATTGCAAAAGGACAAATTAGAATGAAATGGTAATCATATTTTCTTTTGTTGTAAATGTAGATATTGTATACGAGCATGCTTTGCATTGTATCCGGCATAATGTTTGCCAATAAATGTGCTATGCTCTAAATTTGAATTTCCATCAACTTTTCTATATATCAAATAAAGAAACAATCATTCATTGAAAAATCAATCAATCGATCAATCGTTTAAAAACAAACAAAAATCATACCTTTTCGTACAGTTTCCATCCGGTTTCAGACTGCATGTGGTATTCACTGGACTTCAATTTCAGGGTATTCATTTCACAAACCTGCGAAACTTTATTATAGTTAACTGATGTACACGTGTCATCAGATGCGCAGACAAGACAACATTGGCTTACACCAACTTTCAATGGAAAGGGGACACCCTGCATCATTCTTAAATCGGTAGGGAACGCCCGGAAATCAAAGTTGTCTGATACACATTTCGCACGTAAGATGTACAAAGCAAAAATGATATGCTTGAACAGTAATCCCGATATTTCTATTTTTTCAAACATATTGAAAAAAATTAAATTAAAAATGCAATGCATTTACAATTACAAATTGTAGTGTAATGAAAATCAAAATAAGAAATGTCCGGGTATTTATTTTTTCAAATTGCCAGATATTCACAATCACAAACTGCAAGTGATAATTATTACGGGATGCCTAGAATGGTAAACGTGCGCTAATAATCAAGTATATATATACCTTTTTAACCCGGACACATCCGAGGAGAGACAACTTTCTAATTACTCAATTACTCTTTTTTATTACTTGTACAGTTGTTAATAGTACAAATTCAGTGTCCGTTAAATTAAAATCCATTTCAGAGTATTATCAAATCTTCGGAACAGTAGATAGATAATTAAAAGGGATAAGACTGGTCTGCAATGAGAACAGTTTTCACTAGTGTTTCAAATATTAATTAAACAATTGAAATGCATCATTTGGATATTCCCATAAAATGCAACTTAAAAAGAAAATGATCATAAAGTTCTAAGTGATTCGGAGTGAAAATTTATTTGATGAATATTAGAATGTTAGTTCTGGAACACTTTATTGTAAAACTATTTTATTGGATTAAGAATCTCACATTTATAAAGAACGTTCATGAAGTGTTTTTATTTATTTCTCAGAATAAATGTTTTAAATGCAAGTTTAAGTTGTATCACAGACCTTCCTTTTAAAATAATTGACATTGAAGCACGATTCCTTAAATACAATATGAGTATAGTGGGTTTCAATACATTTTCGCATCTTATCCCGGACATCTTTGATTTAATTACATAAAAATCTTTTATCCTGGCAAGTCAATGACTGAGTTCGCAAAACAGATCCGGGCTTTAGTTTGCCAGTCTAAAAACTACAGGTGTAAACGGCAAAAAAAAAAAAATAATAATAATAATTATAATGATAATAATAAAAATAATAACGATGATGTTTTAAAATGTTTTTATTCATTATTTCGTAAAAGTATACACTTTTGTACTTATCTCGCTTTATGAAAACATATCAAAGTGTAGAAATCTGACGCATATGATTTGTTTATAACCGAATATTTCAAGAGACAGACTTTAAACGACTGCGTCCGTTTGTTGGAAGTTTCCATCGACAATAGACGACACCTATTTTATTACACATAATTACTTTACAGCATGATTTTGATTGTTTTCCTGTTCTATTCCATTATACTCAGTACACTCTCAATGAGGATTTGAAAACTATATTGATATATATAAATATAACAGTGTAATTCTTTTTTTTTCATTGATCCATATTTTGTTTGTTTGTTTGCTTGTTTTGGTTTTATGTCACACCGACACAGTATAGGTCATTCGGCGACGTTCCAGCTTTACTTGTGGAGGAAGACCTCAGGTGCCCTTCCGTGCATTATTTCAGGCACGAATGGGTACCTGAGTAGAACCACCATCGTTCTGTAAGCTAGCTGGATAGTCATTGATTCATATAGGAAAAAAAAGAAACCAAATTGATATATAGCAATTGAGATTTTTATTACACCTTGTATATTATCAGTGTTTTTTTTTTTACAGAGGTTCCAATGGTAATGAGATAACAAACATTCCCAACATCAAGATAATAATAAATAAATAATATAAACACAAGTTATTAATGAAATTTATTCTTATTTAAACAAATGATAAAATTGAAAGGTACATTTGCTGAATGAAGTATAAATTATTTCCACTGAAAAAAAACCCAACAAAAAACAAACAAAAAACAAAACAAAAAACACATTTTAAATCCTGATTAAAGATTACTTTCTCTAACATAAGAAGTCTTTATGAACTAAATAGTCTTTTATATAGTTTTATTCTTTGTTGTAATGACAGCGAAAATAACTGCCTTATTATAATGTCATCGCTGAAAGAAAGCTTTCGAAAGCATGCGACAACCTGGTATTTGTTTATATTATCTGGAATTTCCATTTCAAAAAAAAATTGATAGGGCACTAGGCACAGAAGCGCACATAATCTTTTTAATTTGCTTATTTCTGTCAAGAAGCAAAAACGAAATTGCGAAAAGACAGTTATCATACATGGAAGTCGTTAGTTACGGGGATATTACACTGGCTGGAGCGACATCTCGGGATGTTTCTGCAAAAAATCGACTCAGCCTTACGGCCTCGCATTTGTTTTAGAAGAAACTTCCCTCGATGTCGTCCCAGCCAGTTTTTTTATCCCCGTAACTTATTCCTTTGATAAACTATAACTATTACATAATGTTTACAAAGTCAATGAAAGCAATAGTATAAGATCTAAGTTTTTACATTATAATTTACATAATCAGCTCAAGTCGCAAACTATTCAACATTGTTGCGTGCACATATTACATTGATTAATGCGATGTTACGGTAGATTCTTCAGACATTTTCAGAGAATTTTACTTATTTTTGTACAAAACTCACACAGACGTTTTGCTGACAACTAATAACCATCTTGAAAACTATACGGATTGGAAGTAGTTCTTCCGTACGTAAAGGCCCTGTCACACTAGACTGCGCTTTTACTGCGTTAGCACGGCGTTATTAAATTTAACAAAGCGCCGCAAGATTGCAAGAAAAATTTGATATTTTTGATGACGTTGAGACTTCACGGCGTCTTCACGGCGACCATGACGTCGCTACGGAGCTTCCACGGCGTTATAATACGTATCAACGGCGTTTTGATTGGCGATTTTCTACGTTCGGACTGCGCTTCTACTGCGTTCTTTGCAAGCACGTTTTATATATAAACAGTGGAATCCCTCTATTAGGACTTCCAAAAGGACTAGTCTAAAGTCACAGTGATCGTAATTATGGCTATAATTATCAAGGCATATATATTTCATGACCACTCTATTTGAAATTTTATGTGTAAACATGTTTTTAAACAATTATATTATAACCTTCAAAACAATTTGCAGAAAATAACATTAAACCACTCTGAAGCTTTATACAATTTTCTTATCATAAAAGTTGCAAGACCTGTTTCAGCAAGTGTCATGCTTTAGAGAATTCAAGCAGATGAATACCAATAAACTTGTGATCTAAAGAGGTATTGACTGGAATATCAGTGGTCTCAATAGCGGGGTTAGATAAATAAAACAATGCATTGGATCTGAAACTGGTGGTCTTAAAAGTGGATAAGTGGTGTGGTCTTAAGTGTGGACCATGCTACCATTAACATAAATAACAAGAAATCTCGTTCTTTTGAATATAAGTCTCAATACTGGGGTGATCTTAATTCCGAAGTGGTCTTAAGTAGGGATTCTACTGTACTGTATTCTGCAATATCAGATGAACGCAGTAGAATCGCCTTAAAAGCGCAATGGTCGTCGTGACAGTGCCGTTAAGTCGTTGTAAGAGCTTTTGAGAAAAAAAAATACAGCTCCGTGCATGCGCCGTACATCGCAGAATAGGCGCGATAGAGACGCCGCACCATCTCCGTGCAAGCGCCATGGCTAACAAAGGCGTTCATTCGGCGATCGTTCTGTGCTTTCATGGCGCTCCCATTGCGTTGTAGGAGATGCAGCTCCGTGCATGCGCCGTACACACGCAGAATAGGCGCGATAGAGACGCCGCACCATCTCCGTGCAAGCGCCATGGCTAACAAAGGCGTTCATTCGGCGATCGTTCTGTGCTTTCATGGCGCTCCTATTGAGTTGCTACGGCGTCCTTACCGCGATCCCACAGCGCTCTTATCAGAACGCCGAGTGACGGCGTTTGTTTTGAACATGTTCAAAATGCGCGCCGTTAGTCGGCGTTCTATGCGATGCCACTGCGATGCTGCGGCGATGCTACGGCAATGTTTGCGATCTTACTGCGCTCACCTCGGCGTGCTGACATTTCTTTGGACGCCGTGAGAACGCCGTCCTAGTGTGACAGGGGTTTAAGATTTTATACGAAGTTTTACATATTGTTAAATATTCATTTGTCGTTTCTAAGGCAATAGTTTTGGTGATATGATGTGAGCAAGATATGTTTGACAATTAAATAAAAAAACAACATTGACATGCACATTTTAATCAAATATTAATTACTATAGGCATTCGGTTTGTAGGGAAATCTTAAAATAAGAAAATGCAGTCCGTACGTTTTTTCTCTTAAAATATCTTAAATATAATCATCTAAGTTTACTTGTTGGCTTGGTAGCTCTGTATATTTATAATGTTTTAAATTTTGATCAATTTTCCCGAAATGTTAGGAAGTTGCCCGAAAAATTGCAAACCCATCAATATATTTATTGGGGCAGACATGCAATTATTGTTATTGTTCGTTAAATTAATATAAAATAATATTTAATAATTATAATAATATTTACCCGAAGACATACACATAATTATATTAGATTGTACATTATATCTGTGGAATCTTTATAAACCTCGTAATATCAATGAGCGATACGTTTCAAAATTAGTTTAATTTCAAACCAAGGACGAAAAAATAATATTTAAATGTTATGCATAAATTCAAGTTTAAATGGAATTTCCTCATACTTATCTTGAATTTCAATAGATTATGTTTTCCCCACAGGTAGCCCTCATATTCAGAAGAATCATATTTTTTTGTATGATCGCCTCGTTTTAAAAATAAAACAAACAATTCTTGAATGAATATATCATTTCTGTTATTTTTCGAGAAAGTTTATTTTAAACTGTGCTTTGAAATGAAAGCGAAAGACCTTTCTAAAGTTGTGTATTTCAAGGGCGGGCAAAATAAAATTTGCTTAATTCAGAGGGATTTCATGCCAATTTGTTACTTTTATCGGCTAAGAAGAAAGAAGACTTATTGTTACAGACAAATATCAAATGTTGACAGATGAGTAAGCTTCAAGAGGCGACTAGGACTTTGGAAAACATGGAATTTATTTAAAGTCTTAAAGCAATCAAACGAAAGCTGGGTGTTTACTTATCATTTGGTCAGGTGACTGTCATTGGTTTTACACAATTAAATTCAATTATTGATCGTAGGATACTAAAATATACCCAAATATCACCAAGAGCAGTTCTGCAAGTGTAGTGAAGCGTATTTTTCAGACTGTTAAAACGAAATAAAAAACAAATGAGACTGTAATTGCCGATTAGTAATTGAACGAAATTAAGAATTGAAGTAATTTTCATCGTTTTATGGAGTGTGAATTTCAGTTCTTTCAGCTTTGCTTTGGTCTCAACAACTCGGAAAATGTCGAAAAATTGACGAATGTTTAAGCAAACAATCAATTGCGTTACATGTACCACATGGAGAAAATCATTAAAAAATAGTAGATAACTTTAACTGTGAAATTATCAAATATAATTTTAGGTGATACACATATACAGTACGCTCAGCGCGACTTTTGCAAAACCCGCGTGACACCGCGGATGAGGTTTACCGCGGACGAAAATTTGCTCAGATATTGTCCTCGTGACCCCGCGGACAGAAAATATTTCACCACCGCGGACATAAATCGGCGGCTGAAACCGTTTCCCCCGCGGAACGCAGTGGTAAATTGCGGAGGAACGCGGCGGTCAAACACCGGTCAACGCGGTGGAAACCTTAAATTTTAAAAATTAATTACTGTATTTAAACATCAGTATACGTACATACTGTAACATGTTCTGTACATATAACTATATGTAAAATTTGTTTTTTTTCTCTTTTTTGTTGTAATAAAAGTACATGTACAAATGCAGTGTATTTCTTGTTCTTCTTCTTGTTATAGTGTTGGGTAATGTATAATATGTATTCGACATCAAGATAAATCATTGTCGTAGCAATTTCATGGTAGTGAGAAACTTGAAGTCAAATAATGAAAAATTCGGCATATGACATTTATGAAAAAGATACTGCAACAATTTATATGCCAGCTTTTGTTTCTTATTTAAAAACTTTGAAAACGTAACCCTCAAAAATTTACTCAGGCAATATTCCAGTTTTCTGATGCGTTTTACTGTTTCTGTTTATTTGCATGTTGATCATAAAGTCTTTTATTTTATTTGGAACATTAAAAGAAAGCGTTTATTTCACCAAAATATACATTAAATGATATTCTTGATTTATCTAATTACAGGTGTGAGAGTAATGTATATGTTTTTAAGTTTGTATCAACTGTTGAAGTTTATTTTCATTTTTGTTTTAGTAGTTTGTTTGTTTGTTCTTTTTATATTTTTTATAGATTTTTTTGCAGAATTTTGTTAAACTTGACGTTAAACTTTTTGTTTTTCTATTATGAACAGTATGCATGTACATACATGTGTATAAGGCAAACAAGCACATGGCAGTTATTTTCTAAGAACTTCCAGTGACCGATTTTCAAATTAAAAATAGTTCATTTTATTTTTATCTTACGATATTATTGTTCATAGGAATAATAGTATTTGTAGACAACATGTAGTTTTAAGTACATACAATTGAATATTAAAAAACAACAACAAAAACAGGTACAGCTGTAATTATTTTTATTACTAGTATATACCTATAAATTTTCTCCCGAAAATACACGCAAATATTGTAGCGCAAATACGCTTCAACGGATAGAAATTTCCGTATTACGTTAGTGACAAATACGGTACCATATATGAAAGTGCCGGACTATTTTTGACGTTGGTTCCGATCTTAGCTTTGTATTACGTTGCATTGTGAAACGGGAACCAAAATTATTAAAGGCGTGGCCAGTTTGCAAGAATTACGTATTCATCTGTCAGTCATGAATTTATTTCTTGACAACTTTATTTCATTTTCTGAAAAAAAAACACGAAAAGGTATATAATAAAAGGAAAATTATGTTGTAGTAGCTTTCTGAGACTATGTATTTTTCTACTCACAACGTTGGAAAATTGAAAACCCCCGCGTTTGTCCGCGATAAAAAAAATCGTCCGCGGTGGTATCGCGGAAAAAGCAAAACCCGCGGTGAGCGTACTGTAAGCATAAGCAATATAGTACGTTTTTAATAATCAATCATGTTATATAAACTTTATGTAAAATTCCGCACACAATATAACAAATCTAGAACTATCCTCCGATGAATAAAGATTTATACTTGAAGGAATTAAGAACTATCCTTCGACGGAATTGGGACTATCCTTGAAGGCAAACCTTTGGAAAAGAAAGGTCAATATCAGTTTCAGGATGTGCCAATAATCAATAGTGTACAAATACCACTGTGTAAAACATGCACGTCCGATATAATGCAGATAGAGATTGTTATCTTCTATATTAAGGTCGTTGGCAGACTATGGCGGCATGTAAGTTACAATCACGCATTATTGTATCAGCAAACTCTCTCCTATAACAATTGCAGTTAGATCCTACGCTGTAACGAAGCCAAATCCTAGCATCTATATTCATACCAGCTAAACCTGGAAACAATTACATGAATAAATTTGTTTTATTGTATAATGATTACACAGAAGTTCATATACAAGGCTGAAAATCACTTAACTCAATAAACACTTGACGATTTTATGAATTATGAAATAACATAAAGCGAAATATTATCATCGTTCGTTATTTTTAATATGCTAGTTCAGACACAGGCTTTCCGCGTGTTAAGATAGTTTACTGTATTCACTGTATCTTTACAATGGACTTAAAATTCATTACCTGCATCAGCCTCAAGATCTCTTCTGTCTTGACTATTTCCCAGCGCAACAAGGTTCTCACCAAGTGAATGACAAAAGTCGTACGCTTCCTGACGTGTTCTGACTTTGCCAGGTTGAAACAAGTTTTGAATATGACGACATCGTTTGCCGCTCATATAGCCAATGCCACACGGTAGCTAATAAAAATGAAATAAAAATGTTCAAAGAGATTTGTGAACCGGAACTTTGATTGTGTGCAATTGTTAAAGGTACAGAAAACAGTAAAAAACACACATTTTTCTTATCTATCTTGGGAATATATTGTATAATTTTAACAGTTTTTTACTGTGAATGACACGATTTTTTCATTTTAATTTTCACCGATTTAAAGGAACAAATTCATTACATTGGGACAATGCCTGCTATAAGGAAAGTGCTATTGTGGTCATTATTTGAATGCTTGAATGAAAAAATATATACACGAAAAAATGAATATATAAAAGAAAGAAAGAAAGAAAGAAAGATAGAAATAAATAAAGAAAGAAAGAAAGAAAGAAGAAAAGAAAAAAGATAGAAAGAAAGAATGAATGAATGAACGAATGAATGAATAGGATGGCCGGTGTATGGACGGATAGGCAGATAAACGGACTGGCAGGTAGTCAGTCATAATGATATAAAGTTATACATTAATTAATTATAACATACAAACCTTTTCATACAACTTCCATCCTGAGTAAGGTTGCACACGAAATTTCAGGGACTTCATTTTCAGGGTATTTATTTCACAAACTTTAGAAACTTTGTTAAAGTTTACGGATGTACATGTGTCATTATATGAGCAGGCGAGACAACATTCTTTTATATCAACTACCGATGGATAAGCGTCTCCCTGCTTCATCCTCAATTCGATAGGGAACGCCCGGAAATTTACAGAGTTGGCTGCTGCACATTTTGCGTTTAAGATACACAGAGCAAAAACTATATGCGCGTAAGGCATTTCTGCAATTGCCATTTTATACAACAAAATGAAGTATTTATAATTCCAATTTGCCACCTATATTTACAATCACAAAATGTCATCTTTATTATGATCACATTCAAGAAAGACATTTATCAAATAGGTTATAATCTTGACAAAAAAAAACAAGCTGAAGACACTTTGAAAATAAATATTTTTTCTTCCCTATCAATAACCTCTAAATTTTAATTGAATAGTTGTTCATATAGAACAACACCCGTTGCCTGTTAAACCTTAAATTGCGTCGGTAAAATAAATTTATTGTCAAATTGATATAGCATTGTTATTCAACTAAATCAACTGAATAATTAAATGGCTTTGAAACAAAAAAAATCTTTAAATAAGTGATGAAGACACTGTTTATTAATGAGGTACTCACTATTGGAAAAGTTTGTCATTTATAATGCAGTGACCTGTACTGATGTTTTGATTTATCAAAGCAGTCAGTTGTTTCAGCGCACAACATGAAATGGTATTAATATCAATTATACAGAAGCACTATTATTTGTAGTTTCCACTGAGTTGTAAAAAGGAAAAGGGTTTAGCATGCAGCATAAAACACAATCAAACACGCGCATGCACACATACACATTACATATACACACAGAAACATTAAATAAAAAAATGAATAAATAATCCAAAAACAAACATCACAACATACAATCCATACCTATTTTTAGAATTACTTTTATGTATATGTCAAAGATAGTGAAGGTAATAATTGAAGTTCTTATGGGCAACTGTCTGAAAGTGCGATGAAAATATGGTAGAAACAAACACTGGCTTCTTACCCTCTGATTTTACCGAGGAAAATCTTTGAAATATGATTAAATATTAACAAAGTAGGCAAAGCCAATAAATTGTTTACTTGCAAATCGGAAAAAAAAACAACAATATTTGGTCAAATATCAGACACCCGCCGTTCATCATTGCGTTACAGACCCAATTATGAAATGATAATAAAGATTTCACTGACAGGCATATAATTCTATATTTTTTTTATCTTTTTTATTATATACACGTGTCGTCTATAGCAAAGTAAGCAGCGGCCCCATGATTTGACTTCCCCGTATAAAATGAAAAGTTCTATATATGCTAAATTCCAGCAAATAAGGAAAGATTTTGGTCATATACCGCCAAATAAGGAAAAAATAAGGCTTGCATAATGTGTTACTAACTTGAAAAAACACCAGGGATCTAAACCTCCCTACTGCTGGAGCTAAAAGATGTAAAGACTCCCGTTATTCTATCCAATATACACGCCGTGATAAAGTGTAGCTGTAATTTTAGAACCTACATCCTTAAAGGCGAGCACTCAGCCAGAAAGGGGATAAAAGTGAGCTGATGGAAAATTGAGAAAAAATAAGAAACATTTGTTCAGCCTCTCCATGACCACGGGCATTTCCCCAGTGTTGACCCTTGCCAAGATAATCTATTTCTTAACTCTTAAAAAGAACAGATACATGTATTTATTCTTGGTAGAGCTATTAAGTTACGCTGTAATATATAGTAATTGTGTAAAGATTGTGTTGCACGAGATTTTCGTGCATCAACTAAGCGTATCAGATTTCTATATAAAGTATCGAAAGGTATTTTCAAATCACTCGAGGTAATTGCATTGCTTTATTCACATGTTTATTTTCCCAATTAAATG